ATGAAAATGCCTGGTGTGCAAATGAATGCAAAGTGAGACGCGACGGACGATGAGATGTAAAAGATGTCAAAGTCTCATTTGAATATATTGTCACTGAAGCATGGGGCATTTTTCTGGATATATTCTGGCAGTTAAATTAATGTTTTTGATATGTTTCGGAACAGTCTCAAGCGAGTAATCCTAGACTAACCGGGTGTTACCGTAAAGCGCAAAGTAAAAACATTTTCGCAAACTTTGTTCATTCATCACACTTTGTCATTCAACGTTTATGCTGAATGTTCAGAAACAGTTGATGATCAGCATACAACTGGAGGAGTCGCTCTCCATTGTCTATGCGGCCAGCATCGACTCCTAATCGCCTTCCCAAAGGTGATTCCAAAGAGCTCAGATGACTTACTTGGGCATTCATGTCTTTCGAAAGTATCACAATCTCAGTTCTTTCCTGCTTGGCAAATGAGCCTTGCTAACTGTCGATGGAAAGTGTCTTTCTCTGCATCAGAACTGTAGTCCGTTGGAGCGTAAACCGATATTACAATCAGGCACCGCTTTTTATGTCGCCATTCATCGCGCTTGATTGCGCTGGTTAACTGGACAGCGCAAAAACAACTGTTCACTGGGATCCGATCGAGCAAAGCGCGTTCAGTTCTGAGGCGGAGTGGAACTCGCGCGCCATATATTCCACGAGTCACCGCTTCTGGATCACCGGACACGAGGAAACAGAAATGCGCCGGCGGTGACGATCAACAGTTGGGCGACCGGATTCTGCGGGTTTTAGGGCAGACTTTTTTGACCCGTTCTTGGGGGAAGGCAGCATCGCTGCTTCCCTAAATATGGATATGCTGGACACCTTGGAGAAACACCTTACTGCCGTCACATTCCTATCGCAGGAGACAGTCCGACTTTACCACCACACCGACTCGTAGCACGATTACTCGTAGTACGGGGTCTCGGTTCTCTCGGTTCAACTGCTCTTTTTGACCTTCTTGGCATGTTTGCACTTTGTGGAACGAAGTGTTAGCCAGTGTAGTCCGCGGGAACATTACAACACAAAAGCCTAACCACCACCTCAAGGTGGCAGCTTCAGGCCGGGCCTTCCATTTGTGATAACTGTTGGGTCGATAACGATCAGCCTATCTGTAATTAGCTTGTTTGTTAGTATCCATCTACCGCATGTAGGGAGTGCGAGACTGAATATAAGATTAGCTTTACCCAGCAAAGAGAAAAAACAGTAGTCGTGGTGTGAATGTGACTAACTTCTAGCACAGTCCTATCATTGAGTTGTTGCAGTTACTTTCTTGATTTAACTGTGAAGTACATTCACCTTGAATTTTGTTGCCGGCAACGAACTGGGAGGCTATTGAGTGCTGGCATTGAGAACTTTCTGTCAGTGAATCTCGAAGTCACATTGGTCGTAACATGGGTGAGCTTTTGTGCACCAACAGTGAAGTTTCTCGTGATGAATATTCGTTGTGACCCTTATGGAGTTCCTGCTACTGAAGAGGTTTTACATTGGCTTTCTGAGGCCAATCGACTTAAGGAAGCGTTCCGCCTTACAGGTGGCTAATCTGATTATTACCACTGTGTGGGAATCCACGCAGGGTCCCATCGCTACTCCACATGGAGCGAATGGGATTTGTTGGCATAAGCTTTTGGTTTTTGGAGCCGCTTTAGGGTCACTATGTCAGTTGAACATATGATTGTGTTACTTATGTTTTGATTTCGTGTTTTCCTCTTTTGATATCAGTGGGATAATCCTGCCTGGGATGAATGCAATAATGGGACCCACAGGATGTGGCAAATCATCGTGAGTTTTCAGTCCTTTGGAGCTTTCTGACGTGTTATCACTAAATACTCACTGCACTCGCTAGGCTGTGTTGGAAGTGTCCTTTACTCCCCCGACCGTCATATAATTCCTTAAACCTTCGTTCGGATGATGTTGCCTAACAGTTGAATTTTAACTAAATCCAAGCCAACATTAAGGTGCAGATTCCAGGTATGCGTAATTCGAAGTTGACCGAATTCCTAGTTACTCGGAATGTACGCGTTTTCCTAAGGTTATTGAAATAGCAGGCGATAGTCGGTCCGTAGCCTATAGGTATGTGCGCATTGTTAATGAGGATCGGCGAATTATCCAGTAACAAGAACACACTACACTGATCGATTTATCCGGCGACCCTCCCTGTAACGACTGCCTTTCTGATGCGAGTGTTGTGCATGTTAATCGCAAGAGCTAAGCTTTTGGGTGCGTCTCCAACGAGGCGAGATGGCTCAAGCGGTTAGGGCGCGGAATCGGTTCGAACCCGGCCTCTGCTTCTCGACTTCCCCTGCCTAGGCTTAGACAACCTGGCAATATCCAATTCCTCATGCTTCTTTCAGGTGGCATGGCAGCTAGGCATCGAAACGGTGATATGAATTCTTCAGCAAGACCGGGTTTACCTGTTTTCACTTATGCGGCCAATCATCACCACCTGATCCATGTACCAGTCGTACGACCGTCCCACCTGGTGCAGTTTTCACTAACTAGGAATGATTGGAATGAGACAACTTGGAGGTGGTGGCTCAAAACGCTGGAATGTAGGTTGGAACATGTCGATGGAAACGTTGAGCTATAGATTGAAGGCAGCAGCTCAGATATAGGGAAGTCATCTTGTACACTACTGGACCACATCATTCAGTGCATCTAGTCATTGATATGGCCTGTTCCGGGATCCATGTCCAGGTAGGCGACAGTTGCAAATGGATTTGCCAGTAAGGTTCTAATGTTTCGCCCTCTTGGATCTTTTCAATCCATATCAATCTTCTGCAACGTAGGCGGTTATCTACCATTCCCTGCACGTCATCAAGCTGGCACGATCTGTGAGGCTTCATCGATTCATTCGTGGGGCGCGAGTCTTCTCTCCCGAAAATGACTAGTCCAATGTTCCCACCAGAAGTGCTATGGAGGCGCTGAAGTCGAAACGTTGTACGGCAGTGAAGCATCAGTGTTGGACACTGATTTTATGCTGTTGGTAATGGTGATAATGATGATGATAGAAGCTTTTTATTTGTTTTATCTTAAAGGGGCAATAGTCTCGTCTGACAACTCGTGGTAAGGCCTACTGTGAACCTTTATTCGGCCGCGGGACTTAGCGTAGGACACTTTTGGTAGAGTCAGGATCTTGGTTGAAGCTCCACTGCTCGACAGACACTGCTACAAAAACCGATGCTCGACAACAGCCTCAGAGTAAAAAAGGCGAGCATTTTTATCGTTACTATCAGTGTCAGAGGGTGGAGATTGATATCAGATTGCTTTTTAGAGTTTACCTTTTCCGGTTTCCGATCAATTTGCACAGGACAAAATCGGTTGCCAGGTTGATACCACGGTAGTTCTCACTATTTTGAATATTGAAATCACGGTATGCACGTCCCAGTCCAGGGGCACTTTTTCTTCGTTTCATCTAACACGGAGAATTTTAGGCAGATGTACTTCAAGAGCTACTCGGCTTTTTCAAATCGGACAGGATGCGACCTAGTTGCGTCTCGTAGCCTTTCGAATTTCAGAAGGGATATTTCTTAATTTATTTAATCTTCCGCTGGACGGTTTATGTCCTCACCCAACTCAACCGAGTCGATTGTTTTTAGGGACCTAATTTCTGGAAGTCATCTGGATTGTTTTTAACTTGCTTAGCCCATCCCTACAGGTGACGTTGATGTGAGTACACTGCTGAGGCGTGTTTTCCGTTGATCATTTGGCTGATGATGTCTTTCCTCTTGCCAGTCGGTCTAGCATTTGATGCAGGGTACAAGTATTTCCGATGACGAAAGACTTTTCAATCTCCTGAACTTTAGCTTATAACCAGAACTGTTCGTGTTTACCCGGGCTCTTCAGTATTTCGTGTTCCGATTGCGCGCGGATTACGTCACGGTCATTTCTATCGGATACGAATTTTCCGACGCCCATCAAGATCACTGATCTTGACGATGTCCGGTGTTCGTTCTCGTCGTGTCAGTTTGGGATGCGGTGCGCGTGCCTTCATGCATTATCCACGTGATCACGATCTGAATTCTGCTGAGTTTTTGAGTTTTCAGCTACTTTAGGTCAATGGTTTTGTTGTAGGCAGAGTGTGAGGATGATAAGCGGAAGCAATAACGCTCCGCTCAATCCCAGCAACTCCAAGCGCAGTTATAATTCGTTATTTTTGTATTCAACCGCCGGGTCTCACCCAAAAATGAACTATACAGTTTGCGGGTGACGGTTATTGTACTTGCTGCAGCGTACAGTGGTAAATTGACGCTTCACGTATCGGCGAATTAGGATTCGACACTTCTTATGCTTCAAGCTCGTAAATGTGAACATAATTATTGGAGAGATATACATATTCCAATTAATAATTTACCGTTCCTAGTTAGGTCATCATTTGCTCAGTGGCGAATGGGCGCTGACGATCACGTTCTTGTGGGCTATCTTTTGCAATTGAAGTCACATATTCTGTCTCTCTCTCTCCATATATATA